CTGCAGAAGGCACGCAAAAGATCTAGGTAAGATCTTCTGATGATGGTGGCTAGGCTAAACAGTAGATTTTCAAAGTAGAAGAAACAGCATTCTATGGGAAGAAGACGCCATCTAGAACTTTCATAGAGAGATACAGTCAATAAAGTTTATTATCATCATCATCATTATTATACTTTCATTTTTAAAATTTTTAAAAAATTTTTATTTTAAAGACTAGGGCACAATTCAGGATTAGGTATACAAGTGGTCATTTACAGGTAAAGGTTGGGCCTCCCTTTGGTCCCCAGTTTGCCTGGTTTGAGGCCAGGTACCCTAATTGATATTATGTGCCCTGCCCCTCCCCAGGAAGTTTCTGGCTACTGTCAATTCCTTTGGATTATTTGGTAAATGTTCAGAGTATGCTTATGAGTGAGAACATGTGGTACTCAGTTCTTTGTTTCTGTGATAGATCACTGAGTATTATTGACTGTAAATCCATCCAAGTTGCTGCGAAGTCCATAAGTTTGTCCTTTATGGCTGTGTAGTATTCCATTGTGTATATGTACCACATTTTTTTTTTAATCCAGTCCAGTTTCGATGGATAGCACAGTTGGTTCCATGTTTTTGCTACTGTGAATAGTGTGCAGGTATCTTTTTTGTAGAATGATTTGAGTTCCTCTGGGTATATTCCCAGTATTGGAATTGATAGGTTTTATGGAAGGTAAATGTCTAGTTCCTTTAGAAATAGCCACACTAATTTCCATAGAAGTCGAAGTAGTTTGCATTCCCACCAGCAGTGTAGAAGTGTTCCCTTTTCTCCACATCTTCATCAGCATCTGTTGTTTTTTGTTTTATTAATGATGGTCATTCTTATTGGTGTTATATGGTATCTCCATGTGGCTTTGATTTGCATTTCTCTGATGATGAGTGAGACTGAGCACTTTTTCATGTGTCTGAAGAATCAACATTGTTAAGATGTCCATCCTACCAAAGGCAATCTACAGATTCAATGCAGTACTCATTAAATTACCAACATCATTCTTCTCAAACCTGGAAACAATACAGAAATTCATATAGAAAAATGAACAACTACAAATAACCAAAATAATCCTTAGCAAAAGAAACAAAATCACACTTCCAGACTTTAAACTTTAGTGTAAGGCTACAATAATCAAAACAGTCTGGTATTGGTACAAGAACAGGCATATAGAACAATGGAACAGGATAGAGATTCCAGAAGCAAGACCTAAATTTCTTAACCAACTCATCTTTGACAAAGCCTCCACCAACAACCACTGAGAAGAGGAGAACCTATTCAGTAAATGCTAGGAAAACTGGTTGACCACATGCAGAAGATTGAAACAGGACCCCTACTGATCACCATACACAAAAATAAACTCTAAATGGATCAAAGACCTAAATGTAAAACCTCAAACTATAAGAATCTTAGAAAACACAGGAGACATGCTTATGGGAATCAGAACAGCAACCAATTCCTGATCAAAACCCCAGATGTCCATGCCATAAGAGATAAGTTAGGCAAGTGGGACCTCATTAAACAGAAAAGCTTCTGCAAAGCAAAATCAACCATCAAGAGAGCAGGAAAACAGCCCACAGAATGGGAAAAAATATTTGCCAACTGTCTATCTGACAAAGGCCTAACATCCAGAATCTAAAAGGAACTCAAATGTACCGAAAGGAGAAAACAGTCCCATTAAAAAGTGAGCAAAAGACATGAATAGGCTTTAAAGCTTGAAAGACAGGCTGACTCTCTTGGTAGGGGCTATTGCATCTGGTGACTTTTAAGTTGAGGTCAGTGCTCATTTACTATTCCAAAAACCTTAGGGCTCTTAAGAATTATGCTAAATGTACTCTGCCTATGCTCTATAAATGAACCAACAAAGCCTGGATGAAAGCACATCTGTTTATAGCACTGTATATTTTAAGCCTACTGTTCAGACCTACTGTTCAGAAAAAAAGATTCCTTTCTGAATATTATTGCTCATTGACAATTGGCTAGTCACCCAAGCGTTCTGATGGAAATGTTCAAGGAGACTATATTGTTTTTATGCCTGCTGATACATCCATCTGCAGTCCATGGAACAAGGAGTAATTCTGAATTTCAAGTCTTACTACTTTAGAAATGTATTTCATAAGGCTATAGCTACCATAGAGAATATTTCCTCTGATGGGTCTGGGTAGAGTGAATTGAAAACCTTCTGGAAAGGATTCACCATTCTGGGTGCCATTAAGAACATTCATGGGAGGAGGTTAAACTATCAACATGAATAGGAGTTTGAAGAAGTTTGTTCCAACCCTCATGGATGACTTTGAGTGGCTTGAAGACTGCAGGGGAGGAAGTCACTGCAGGTGTGGTAGAAATAGCCAAGAGATTCAGAATTCAAAGCGGAGCCTGAAGATGTGACTGAACATGGCTGCAATTTCATGATAAAACTTGAAAGGATGAGGAGTTACTTCTTATGGATGAGCAAAGAAAGTGAGATGGATTATTCTTCTGGTGAAGAGGCTGTGAACATTGTTAAAATGACAACAAAGGATTTAGAATATTCTATAAATGTAGTGAGAAATCAGTGGCAGGGTTTGAGGGGATTGATTCCAATTTTAAAAGAAGTTCTACTATGGGAAAATGTTATCAAACAGTATCACATGCCACAGAAATCTCTCCATACAGGAAAAGTCAATTGATGCATCAAACTTCATTTTTTGTCTTTTTAAAAAATTGCTACTGCCATCCTCACCTTCCACTACCACCAGCCTGATCAGTCAGTAGCCATCAGTATAACCCTCCACCTTCAAAAGGATTATGGTTTTCTGAAGGCTCAGATGATTGTTAGTACTTTTAGCAATAAAATATTTCAAAATTAGGGTATGTCTATTTTCTTAGACATACACTATTACCTTTATATGCACTGGGAAACCAAAAAAATTGTGTGAATCTCTTTAGTGTGATATTTGCTTTATGGTGATGTTATGCCACTGAACCCGCAATACCTTTGAGGTATGCCTGTATATACATCTTGAAACAGAGCAATGCTAATCCCTTTCCTCACAGAAATAGTACAAAATAAAACACTAACTCAGAAATTAAACTCTTTGACCAAACTTGAGGTGTGTATTGGGTCAGTTGTAATTCACATAGGTAGATAGTTCAAGTTCAAATTTTATTTATATTAAGTGCTATATTGTTCAGCGCCCCAAACACATAGAAAAATGCCCTATGTGAACTCAATAAAAATATAGTTCTCATTACAAACTTTAGAATTTCAACGAGCCTTTGCTTATATTTCACATTCATTTGGACAAGGTGAAGTTTGTGCATTTAACACTTCATTTTTTGAAAATATTGTTTTTTAGCACAAAAACTGCACAAGACCCTAATATATGCTGAAGAGACTTCCAAAGCAGATATTTCTGTTTTATGTTCCTTGTACTGTGAATTTCCATGATCTGTAAGTATCAATGGCAATTCAAAGCTTCAAGTGCAGCACCGTATAATATTTATTCCCTTTGATAGTAAGTAAAATAATTACTCCCTTGGGTAGTTTTTTAAAATATGAAAATGCATAATTTAAATTATGGTTGTGATATTATAACTTTCCAAATCTTGTTCTGTAAAGCTCTTAGAAATCACCCGGCACAGAGTAAGTGCCATGTAAGCATTAGCTATTATTGCTCATTCTTCAAGAATGAGCTGAAAAGCCATCTTCCGAATGATGCCTTCACTGACCGTAAGCCCTCATTGTGTCATGACCTCACCTTGGCCAGAATTGGGAATCTGCCTTTTTTTTTTTTTTTTAAAAAGTCAATTTGATAAGTAGAAAATTTGTCTGATTGTTTTCATTCAAGCCATTTATGTGTGACTTTTTCTGTGAGTCGCCTATTTCATGACCCTTGTCTGTTTTTCTAATGGACACTAATATATGTTAGTTGAATCATTATTTGTATATTAAGGATTTAATACTTCATGTGATATTTTATTGCAGGTATTCTCACCAATTTAGCTTTGCCTTTTAATTGATTCTCCTATTTTTGCATACAGAAGGATTAGATATTTTACCCATAGCAGAACTTCTTTCAAAATTGGAATCAATCCCTTCAAACCCTGCCACTGATTTATCACTACATTTATGGAATATTCTAAATCCTTTGTTGTCATTTTAACAATGTTCATGTACAAAGTGATCTTGTATCTTGTATGGTTTTCTCGTGCCCTCCCTCATTTTCACCACTACCATGATTTTTTTTTTTTTTTTTGAGTCAGGGTCTCACACTTGCCCAGGCTGGAGCACAGTCGCATGGATCACGGATCATGATTCACCTCAGGCTCGACCTCCTGGGCTCAGGCAGTCCTACTGCCTCAGTTTCCCAAGTAGCTGTGACTACAAGCATGTGCCCAGCTAATTTTTTAATTTTTTTGTAAAGACAAGCTCTTGCTATGTGACCTAGGCTTTCCTCAAATTCCAGGTGTCAAGCAGTCCTCCTGCCTCAGCCTCCTAAATTGCAGAGATTATAGGCGTGAACCACCATGCCTGGCCCATGGTCATGATTTTTTAAAAGTTCCATTACAACAAGCAAAGGAAGCATTTTATCACTCCACTTGAAAGCACTCTCCATGCCTAGGAATAAATGCAATGGGTCAGTGCTTCATCTTCTGACATTTTCTTATAATCACTAAGGTTACTTAATGGTCTTCACCGAGTTAGGGAACTGAGTCTGTTCTTTCCACATGGTTTTAAAACTGAAGTTCTTTCACTAGGCAAGATACCAAAAAAGGAGTAAGTCTGGGAGAGGTGGGATGGATCCCTTGTGGGTCGGAAATGTAGTATAGATTCACGAGTGGTCTCGGCTTTTCCCAACCTTGCCAGCGGATTGGAAATAAGGCTACCTGGTTTCCTCTTCCCCGTATTGTGTCATATTCCCATGACTCATGTGTGCGATAGTATTTTGGCATGCTCTGATAACATGCCTGGCATTGTCTGTATTTGTCTTTTCCCTATCAGGGAGCAGAAAGAAAAATCCGAGATGAAGAAAGGAAGCAGAACAGGAAGAAAGGGAAAGGCCAGGCCTCCCAAACCCAATGCAATAACTGTGAGTTTCACTGACACTGACTTTGCTTTCTAAGGGGGAGACTCCAGGTAGGTTGGGCCCACCTGGGGGTCAGGTGGGTAAAACTACATGTGTGCAAGGCACGGCTTGCTGTCTCCTGACAGTAGAGACAGGGTGATTATCCCTGTGCAAAGCAAACAGAATCACATGAGCACATATGTTTGAGCTTGGAAGGACTTTGTGGCACCACGAACACCAACATCCTCCTTCTACAGAAAAGGAATTTGGGACACACATAGGGGCAGGAGGCTGTGAGGGGTCCCGAGTTCCACCTCACGACTGCTCACTCAATGGCTGCTCTTTCTGTTGGTTTGGCTGGGTAGAGGTTGTTAACGTGTGTTCACATGTCTAGTATTTAGAACACTTCATAAGAGAAAAGCATGAACTTTAGCTAAACGAGGACTTATCGCTGAGAGTTCTTAGTCATACATAACCCTCTCATTTACGGGTTTTGTGATCCCATTCAGCCTCTGACGGGAAGATGGCTGCCATACCTTTACAGAAGAAGAGTGACATCACCTACTTCAAAACCATGCCTGATCTGCACTCACAACCGGTTCTCTTCATACCTGATGTTCACTTTGCAAACCTGCAGAGGACTGGACAGGTATGACTTGCCTGCTAACATTCACCTGCCATCCATCCACTGGGCTGGTGGGGCCTTGAACGCACCTCAGCAGTATTGACCTTAAAAATAAAACCCTCCTTCCATTCACTGAAGGGAAAGTCAATGTCATTTCTTACAGTTAATGGATTTTTAAAGAAAGGAATGTCTCAGGAGAGGAAACCGACTTTCTAAAGAAGGGGAAGCAAGGGGAAGAGAAGAGCGAGCTGATATTAGTAAAGTATTGAGATAGCAATGAAAGAGGAAGAAAGTAAGAAGGCTGATAACCTGTAAGGAAAGTTGTTAAGTTTTGACACGGCAGGATTATCTTAATGCAATAGAGCTCTACCTAATGGTGAGAAGTTGAACTGCACCTATAGCTTCATAAAATTGTACAAAGGGAAAAATTTATCTTAGATTAAATAAAAATTCCCTCAACAATGTTTCTCTTAGTAAATGAACGGGTCTCTCATTCACTAGATAAATCATTGCACATCAAAAAAAAAAAAAAATGAGACTCTAGACACTAAGCCCTCTCCCTCTCCCTTTTAAAAAATTCCTGTCCTCTAGGTATATCTACAAGTAAAATAAAATATCTAATAATATACTAACAAATGCCCAATAATTAAGTCACTATGGTAGCTAAAGTTGATGAAACATTATGCAGTCCAAAATTTTAATTATAGAAACTATATACCAATATGATAATATTCAGTGGGGTAAAAAAGTAGACTAGCAATTTATATTATGATCTCAGATATGGAACTAAATTTGAAGGGAACAGGAAAAATTGCAACAATTATTACAGGGATATAAGATATGGCTTTTTTCCTTTATCTTTAGTATCATTTCTTTTATGTAATACATTAAAATTATGTGAATAGAGGAAAAATTAATTATTTCCCTAGCATTGGTCAGAATTGTCTTTTTCCTTACCAATCAGATTTTCATGAATTTTGCATTGATTTGTTTTCTTTTAAACCCCAAGTCCTTTGAGGAAACCTCTGTTTTGAGAAACAGGGGCATGCTGACACATTCCAGTTTTTCTTAAATTCCAAGTGTGCGGACACTCATTGGGTTGATCTTAGCTAGAAAGATAAATCATTATTGGCTTCACTTTCTCTTTTTGGATAATGTTTTGCCCTCAGTATTCAGTGTGTTATTTCATTATATGTATGGGACAAAGCAACTATACAACCAGAGCTTTGTGTTGCTGTTCTTGATACGGCGTGGTAATAAAATATCTCTATTCAGTCGCTTCTTCTTAGAACATATTTCGACTAAAAACTAAGTTAACATTTCCTTCTTGTCTTACTTGTTTGATGGGAACAAGGACACGGGGGGGAGGGGATTTTATAATTTATCAAGATAATAGGACCAGCACCTAATTTATTTTTTAATTCCCAAGAACCTGGTGATGACTGGTATAGCCTCTGTCTTTGCCCCATGGGATCTTATAGAGCTAGTTTTCTACACCTTCCAGAAGACGGTCATTGAGTTACATTTTTCTTATTGTCTCATTTACTGTCGTGATTCTGGCTTCAGTTCTGTGTCAACCTTGACCACCTGACCTGTTCTCTTGGCAAGATTTCTCCAGGATATACAAAACTGTAAATAAATCTTAAGAGAAAAAGCGCCCCTACCTGGCTGCTGGTCCTCTGACTTCTCTTGCTCCTTGGGTGTTATGAGACCGGCTCTCAGCCTGAGGTGAAATCAGAAGGAAAATTCTGCCTTCACAGTTTATTGATTTCAGCAGTTGCCAAGCAGCCCAATTAGCATCCGCCTTGGCGCTGTGAAGTTAAGTCCTGCTATCTGGAGGTCAACCTCGTAGAGCCCCCAGGCTTCCCCTGTGGCCCTAGATTCCTTGTTGCGGGAGTCAGTGAGGGAGCCTGCCCCAGCTCCTGGCAACAAGGGAACACACACCATTGTGCCCTGGAAGGACCCTGAATATCCTATGGTTGATCAGCGAGATTAACTGAAGGAAAAGCAGCTTGGACAGTGACTGGCTGGGGCCTTTAAGGCTGCCTTTCTAGGAAGAGCTAGATGCCTGGAAGACCCTCCAAGAGACAGAAGGGAAGAGGCAGTGCTGAAGCCTTAAATGTGGGGCTGGGCAGGGATCAGCCAACTTTGACCTGCAAAATAAGAACCTGCAGTGGCTGGTCAAAGGTTGGGGCTGGTTTACTTCAAGGTGAGAGGGAAGGTGGAGAGAGACAAGCAATGGTGAGCAGCTCAGAAGCCACTGTAGGCCCGAGTCTTGCTAAAATCAGTGGCATTGCAGCTCTGCACACTGCAGAACCAGCAGCTCTGTGGCTCTCATGGTCGGTGAGGCACCCCTGAGTTATGCTGAAGCCACCTCAGCTACAAGGCAGCAGCTCCTGTTCACCCAAGGACATCGCCGGGGCATGAGTATTTTCACTGTTAGTCCATGCCCTGCGCCATCATTATCTCATTGATTTATACGTGGATTGGAATATTCTGCAGACAATGATCAAAAACTAAGATGAGAAAATGAATCCAATGGAAGGCATCTTAGAGACTTTCAGTCTCACCGTCCCTATATGGAAGCCCTGAGTCCGGGCTGTTTGTGTCTGAATGTCTTCAAAGGACATGTGACTAGAGGAGCTTGGAGGAAACTGGGATGCAGGAGCATCGTCTTCTCAGATATTCTATACTTTGCAGGCATCACCTTCCTCCAAGCACCTGAACCCAGGGAGGACCCCTCTCCTCCCTCACACTCTCAAGAACAGTCTCTTGCACTGGTCTGTGAACAGGAGTTCTTGATAAGGATTCAGCTTCCCAAGTTCCAGCCCCGGTCTTTCAAATTAAAATCTCTGAAGTGGGTTCTAGGAATTTGCATTATGATTAGGTCCCACGATATTGTTGTACACTCTAAAGTTTGAAAATCATGCTCTAAAAATTAAACTAGTGCATTGGGCACAGCAAGTGACAAGGAAGAAACAGTGGGTTGTTATGTTGAGATTAGGAGAAATAACAAAGGAAGGGACGTGACAGGGATGGTGAATTGGAGCCATCCAGGAGGAGCAGAAAACACTTAAGAGAAAGCTGCTTCCGACTTTGGGTCACCAACCAACTTGATGGAGGCTGGGGACCCGGGCAGGGTAGAAACATTTGCCATGAAGAAAGCAACAAAACACAAGGCAACTTCAGAAAAATTTTCAAAACAATCCAGCTGCATAGTCAGTGGTATGATCCGGGCTCTCTCATTTATGCGGGTCATGCCATACTCTTGTAAGTGGACGGTCTCATCTCTAGTTCATCCCAAAGACAAATCTCCAAATGCCACACTGAAGCCTGAGGTGAGAAAAAACAATTTATCTTTATTTTATTTTATTTTTTTAAGTGGGAGGTCACCCAGACTGGAGTGCAGTGGCACACTCACAGCTCACCACAGTGTCAGCCTCCTGGGCTCAGGAGATCCTTTCACCTCAGCCTCCTGAGTACAGACTTGCCACCAATCTGTCTGATATTTTTAAAAAATTTTTGTAGAGACGGGATCTCACTATGTTGCCCAGGCTGATCTTGAACTCCTGGGCTCAAGCAGTACTCCCACACATGTCAGTCTCCCAAAATTATGGGATTACAGGAATAAGCTACTGTGCCCAGCCCTCCTTTATTGCTTTCTGTTTAGGAAGAAACCAAGTATACAACAGCCATTAAAAAAAAAAAGAAGAAGAAAAAGAAGAGATCCCATAGAAATCTGATCTAATGACTAGAATGATTCACTCCAAGAGAGTTCCAAGTTACAAATTTTGTTATATAACTAGGTCTAGACTTGGCCATATCCAAGAGCTGCCAAGAGTCTTTGAGAAAGTTTGTATTCAGGTTGTCTGTCTAGGCATAGCTGTTTGCTTTCTAGCCTGGGCAGGGACAGTGACTAATATACTAGAATTGGAGGCTACTTTTGAAGTTAATATATAAATATCTGATACTAACTCAGGTATTCTTCTTCACCCAAATACAAGTGATCTGAGGTACACAGCTATGGCTCTCAAAAGACCCACAGTTAATGATAAGAAAGAATTGGGTCAAGAGAATATACATACATAGCAAATCCTCTCTAGGTTTCTATAGTTCCATAAAATCAAAAGGATGCTTCATAATTTCTTTAATGTGATCCTGCCTTCCTTGGCGCTGACCACCTAAATAATTCCGTCCTTGGAGAGCTTCATTCTGGCCAGGAACACCTTCCAGAACGAATTGACCTTTCCCAGCCTGAAGATAGTTGACTTATAAATTTTTGTGGTTCTAAATTTTTGAGGCCTGGGTTACTGTCGCACTGCTGGGGGACCCTCTTGTCCTCTCCCCCCAATTGGCAGTGTCTGGAGTCATCTCGCCTGTGGACCAGATGGGATGGGTCACTCACAGGCCAGGAGCCACCCTGCAAGCCAGAGCCTTTTGAAACAAAGCATTTTAGATCTGGTCAATATGTTTCCTTAATGTCAAAAGCAAGATTTGGCTTAGGGCCATAGGTAATCTGATCAGACTGACTTTAGCTAGAAATAATCTGATTTTCAATTTTATTTCATTAAAATCTAATAATTAACCCCATGGTGAATGTAAGGAGGTTAAATCTGCATTTTCTTAGAAACATACACACAGACAGCATCATTAAACAGATTGGTCTTTTGTCTTTTTAAAGAGACTGTTGATGCCTTAGGAAAGTCTGTTCATCAGGTACTATATTTCCATTTCTCATCTCTGACCTACAATGAGCCTATTGTTTTGTTCCACAGGTGTATTACAACACGGATGATGAACGAGAGGGGTAAGACACTCAGTTCTTTCACTTGAACACCCAGTCGGTCCATGTCAGTGGAAATGGCTCTCCTGGTACTGGGGAATCTGGGCAGGAAGCAAAACCTCCTCTCACCTCAGAACTCAGAACTGAGAGAAGCTACTTGATTCTGAGGACCGTGTGGGAGGGAGGCTGTGGGAATGATTGCCTTTCTCCTTCCAAGCTTCTCTTCTTTTTTTTCCTTTCCTTCCTATGATCTGCCTCTGAATAACTAGCTGTTTTTCCAAGAGACCCACCTCTTCCATTCCATCCTTTCACCTATAATCCAGTTACTGAAATCTTCCTGATATTCTTTCCTACCCATCATTTGACTCCCAGCTCAAGGTCAAGCTGAGCCTGAGACAAGAGCCCAAGGAGGCAGCCTGACCCACTTCCAGTACTGCCTGGGCTACATGCACAAGCTCCTCCAAGCCCTCTCTCTGAGATGCGAGCACATCAGGCCAGAGGGGAGCCTGGTTTGAATGGGAATTGAGCTGAGAACCTCTTCACTGTTCTCTGGGATTGTAGATAAGAGAGGGTCATAAAGGCGCCCAATGTCTCCACATCAAGTCTCTGTGTAACAGCAATCGGAGATGTTCTCCATCTTTGTGTAGGATATATGCCCACCTGAATGTGGTACTGCAGTCTTTCAGGGGCAACCAAATCTGCAAATTGTTTTCTAGCCATTAACTCATTTTGTAGTCTCAGAATTTTAGAGCCAAAAAGAAACCTTAAGATCATGTAGCGAGACTCCTCTCCTAGACAATGGTAACATCTATACCACATCCTTGACAAGTGGTCAGTTAGCTTCCACTTGAATACTTCCAGTGAGGGAGCACTCACAGTCTGTGAGACAGCTCATCCCACTGATGGACCATTCCAGCTTTTTTGTTTTGGGCGGGGTGGGGACGGGGGTTGAGTAGAAGTCTCCCTCTGCTGCCCAGGCTAAAGTTGCAGTGGCACGCTCAAAGCCACCGCAGCCTCGACCTGCTGGGTTCAGGCAATCCTTCCGCCTCAACCTTCCAAGTAACTGGAACCACAGGCATGTGCCACCACACCCAAAGAACTTTTTTAAAAATTTTATTGTAAGCCGGGCTCGGTGGCTCAGCCTGTAATCCTGCGCCTTTGGGAGGCTGAGGTGAGTGGATTGCCTGAGCCTGCGGGTTCGAGACCCGCCTGGGCAGCGAGACCTCATCTCTACAATAAATCAAAAATCAGCCGGGCGTGGTAGCACGCACCTATAATTCCAGCTACTTGGAAGGCTGAGGTGGAAGGATCGCCAGAGCCCAATGGGTCGAGGCTGAGGTGGCTGGGAGCGGCCACTGCACTCCAGTCTGGGTGACGGAGTGAAACTCCAACTCAAAAAAAAAAAAAAATTTATTGTAGAGATAAGGTCTCATCAAGTTGCCCAGGCTGGTCTCAAACCTCTGGACTCAGGCAATCCTCTTGCTTCCACCTCCAAAAGTGCTGGGATTACAGGTGTTACACCTGGTTCCATTCCAGCTCTTACAGAGCTATTTCATCTGCTGAGATGACATCTATCTATCTTCTCCAACTTCTGCCAATTAGCTTGAGTTCTGCCCTCTGAATACGTCTCCTCACTCCTCATATTCAGATGTCCTCTTCTCCCCGGAAACTGTTCTTGGTAAAATATACTTTTACCTCTCAACATCTTAATTACTATACCCAAAGGTATACTACTAAATTTGGTAGTAGTCTCTTTAAACTTGGCTGTCAGAATAAACACATGTTCTGCATCACAGGAAGAATTGCAGATTTTATTGGGATAATTTCTTTTTATAACCTGGATGATATTTTTCTCTTAAAGCAATTAAGAACTGTATTCACTTTGAACATCTACTTTATGTTCTTGGTTTGCATTTCATATGTGTGACTAAAATTTCAAGATCATTTTATTCAAGTGACCGTCAAGCCAGGGCTTCCCTATTCTGATGTGATTAATATATTTACTAGTGAAACATTTCCCAGTTGGTGGGATGGAATAGATTTTGCTGAGCTCATTCCTAGTGCAGAGGTTGGTAAACTGTAGCCTGAGGGCCAAACCAGGGTCACTGCCTGTTTTTGTACAGTCTGCAAGCTAAGAATGGTTCCCCCATTCTTCAGTGGTAGAAAAGAATTCAAAAAGAAGAGTAGCATTGCATGATGTGAAAATTCAATGAAATCCAAGTGTGCATAAATAAAGTTTTATTAGAACACGACCATGTCAATTCCTTATGTGTTGTCTATGGCTGCTTTGATGCTGCAATGACCGCACAAGAGTAGTTACAGCAGAGACCCTCTGGCCTGCAAAGCCTAAATATTTACTGCCCGGCTCTTTACAGAAGAAGTTGACCACCTTCTATCCTAAAGGATTGAGAATCTCAAAGGAGTCAAGTGACTCTCTAGTTGGTTAGGGGCAGAAACTTGTCTAGGACTTGACCTCTAAATTCTGAGTTCTAAATTTTCTTTTTCAAATTTTTATTTTAAAAATAAAATTCAGGATTGGGTATACAAATGGTCCTCATACAGGTAAAGTTTGCCTCACTCTGGTCCCCACTTCACCTGGTTTGAGATCAGACACCCTTATTGATGAAGTATGCCTCTAACTCCCTCCCCTGGCAGTTTTCTACTATTGCCAATCCCCTTCTTGTAGTATTATAATTGTTCAGGGTCCTCTTATGAGAGAGAACATGTGGTACTTAGTTCTTTGTTTCTGTGATAGATTATTCAGTATTATAGACTCTAAATCCATCCAAGTTGCTGTGAAGTTCATAATTGTGTCTTTATGGCTGCATAATATTCCAACATGTATATGTACCATATTTTAAAAGTCCAGTTCATTTTTGATGGGCAGCATGGTTGGTTCCATGTTTTTGTTATTGTGAATAATGCTACAATAAACATGTGTGTGCAGATATCTTTTTCATAGTGTGATTTGAGTTCCTCCAGGTATATTCCCAGAAGGAAGATTGCTAGGTTATATGGAAAGTTGATTTTTAGATCTTTTAGGAATCACCACACTGTTTTGCATGGAGGTTGTAATAGTTTAAAATTCTACCAACAGTGTAGAAATGTCCCCTTTTCTCTGCATTCTCTCCAGCATCTGTTGTTTTTTGTTATTGATGATAGCCATCCTGACTGGAATTAGGTAGTATCTCAGTGTGATTTTAATTTGCATTTCTTTGATGATTAGTGAGACTGAGCATTTTTTCATGTATCTGTTGGCTGCTCATAAGTCTTCTTTTGAGGCGTGTCTATTCATATCTTTTGCCCACTTTGTGGGCATTCACTGGATGCCTTAGCTTTTGTCAGATAACAATTGGCAAATATTTTTTCCCATTCTGTGGGCTGTCTCCCCACTCCCTTGATGGTTTCTTTTGCTTTGTAGAAGCTTTTCAATTTGGTGAGGTCTCACTTGTCTATCTTATCTCTATAGGCATGGGCAGTTGGGGTTTTGATCAGGAATTGGTTGCCAGTTCCAATTTCCATAAGGGTGTCTATTGCATTTTCTAAGGTTCTTATTGTCTGAGGTTTTACATTTAGGTCTTTGATCCATTTAGAGGTGATTTTTGTGTATGGTGATAGGTAGGGGTCTAAATTTTCCAAATGCTTAATTCATTTATTTTTTTCTATCTTGGCACATAGATAACTTATTTCCAGTGGTTGCAATGAGCAGAGATGATGAGTACCATCTAGTCTAATCACATATCTAATAAGGCATAGTGTGGTATCACAGGAAGACGTTGATCCCAAACTCCGGAAGCCCAAGTTCCATTCCAGAGCTGTCGCTTACTAATGTGAAAATTTGGGCCAGCTCCTTGATCACTGGGCTTTGGTTTTCTTCATTTGACATTGCGAATTTTCATATAAGAAAATCTCTAAGATATTAAATCATTTTATTTTCCTCATGGGAAAACTTAGTGCTATGAGTGAGAAGTGCCTGTGATCCTAAATGCTCCCTGATGTGCAGATTCCTGTTGTAAATCTATCTCACTCAAACTGTCCTTCCCTGAAGGCTGACTACAGTTAGATGACCAGTGGCTTAGTAATAACTCCACTGGCCTGGCCTCTCTGTAAGAATTATCCTAAATTATTGCATAGTCCTGGGCCATAAGTTCTGCACCTCTTGTTCTTACACATCTTCTAGAGTTTGATTGAACAATATGGACCGCATTGGAGCTGCAGTGTTAATACATGGTAGGTGTGTGGCTATTTTTTAGTTGGAAAATGTAGTTTATTTTAAAAATAAAAGTAAATGAGAGAGAGAGAGAGAGAGAGAGAGGAGATTCACCTCCCTGAGGTAGGGAAGGGGGTATTTTTTTTTGTCAGGGTCTCACTCGGTTGCCCAGGCTGGAGGGCAGTGGATTGATACAGTCTTGACCTTCTGGGCTCAGGGATCCTTCTGCTTCAGCCTCCTGAATAGCTGAGACTACAGGCGTGTGCTAATGCCTGGCTAATTTTTTTCTTTCTTTCTTTCTTTTTTTGGAGACGAGGTCTCACTATGTTGACTAGGCTGGGATTATAAGTGTGAGCCATCATACCCAGCCTGCATAGCTATTGTTATATGTAAAAGTAATAATTAGCATTCACTGGATGCCTTGGCTAGGCACTGGACTAAGTGCTTTATGTGCATCATCTTATAGAATTCTTTTAAATTTCCTTTTACCTCCATTTTCTAATGAGAAAATAGGCTTCAAGAGATTAGGAGACTTTTCAAAGTCACATAGTTGGTAAGTGATAGAGGCAGGATTTGAACCTGGCTCTTGATGGACTTCCCATCACCTGCTTTTAGCCATTGTGCCCATGGCTGCAAAGCAGGTATTTAGATGCAGGCCCTAATTGAGACAGCTTTCTAGCCTTGACAGAGGCACAGCCTTGGTTTATACCTTCGAGCATGGAACCCAGATTGTGACAAGCCCAATGAGCATACCTGGCAGAGGGGATCAGATCTGAGGCCACCATCTATGTTCATCTAGCCCCAAGGAGTGCTG